GTTCCAATGGACAGGGGGGGCCGGTGGACCACCCATGTCACCTGACTTCTCTTCGAACTGTCGTTACACCATTCATAATCACAAAAGCAAGTAGCTCAGTCAGTGAGTCAGCTACTTGCGACCCCCCCCCCCTCTCTCTCTCTCGTTTCGTTTTCTTTGGAATGGAAATATTTGAAGCGGATCGTGGCAAATCACTCGCCCAAGTCCAAATGCGAAGGTTAGGTTCACACTGCAAACTCCAACACCCGATGGTCAGCCACGAGCTGTCGTGTCGTGATGAATGAATCGAGAGGATCCTGGTCGGGGTACAGAGTGAGATGCTGTGAAAAGACGTCAGTAATCTCCACAGATCTCGGCGTCGTTCAAAATCCATCAAATAATTTACCCGAGAATCAGCGGCGTGTCGTGAAGCGGCCTTTATTGCCGGGGATTTGTTCCACTTTGCCATCTCCTGTCTTTTGTTTCGTTTGTTCTCCCACCCGGTGAGACATGCGATGCAATCAACTGTGTGTATCTCTACATGCAGCACTAACACACAATAACAACGCTACTCCGACGCAGTTCGAAGTCATGAGTTCCACTTTCTACTGTGTCTCTTGCTGACTCAAATGGAGTACAGGACGAGCCTTCAGGCACTCCCCCCCCCCCCCCCGCCCAAAAAACCCGCGACATTCATGAACATAATTTTGTTAATCGCCTGCAAGATCACCGGAAGAAGCGACTTCACTTTCTGGCTCACAAACCCCACGGAGCAGAATTTTCTTGAGAAGCTGATAGTCGTTCAGTTGGCCAGAAAAGAAATTTCCCAATTTTTTTAAATTGAAATTTGATCCAGCTGAGATCCTCGCACCCTGTTTCCTTCGGTTACCACTCACCTTATCTTCCCCTCCACACGTGCTACATGCTCCGCCCATCATATTTATTTATTTAATCAGCTTAATTGATGAACAGTTCAAATTATCTAATTCCGCCTTTCTCTTCCCATGCATTGCAGGACGCACATTTTATGAACATCGCGTTACATAATTTATCTACAGTGTAAGTATTTACGTCACTGTGTTAAATCAACGGTCAGCGACATTTGGAATTTTACAATAGAACGTCTCGGCCGAATGGTTAGCATTCCCGCATCCTGAGGTTTTCGGCAGTTTTCCTCAGTTACTCCAGGGAAATGTCACTGTCACATCCTTCCGTATCCCTTCCAGTTAATTATTCATTCATCGCCCTACAATTTGACGCTGAAAAGTCCGCGGTAGCAGAAGCGTCGTTAGATGAACCATGACGTCATGTTAAGCGCTGCTCGTATACTTGTCTTAATCTTAATGTGACCGCGCATGTGTTATGCGCAGTTATGCGCAGTCATGCGTGCAGTATCACGCGTCGTGCGGTTGCATCTTCTTCGCCGATGATAGTCCGACCTCCGGCTCTTTCTTCTTAAGGCTTTGACCGGGATGTTCTTTTGTTAAATCTTATGTGGTACCGCCTGATTCGACTTCTAATGGTTAAGTGAAGTGTTTTCTTCGCGGTACGGTCTGGATTCGTAAATATTATGAAGACGAGATTCGGCTTCAAAGGGTTAACCAGCTGATTTTCGTAATGGTGAGGTGTAGTGTTTTCTTCGCGGTACGGACTGAATTCATAAATAATATTCAGACGATCTTCGGCTTCAAAGGGTTAAGAATGTTCGAGGGGTAAGAACTGAAAGGGTACGGAGCATTCCCAACATATGAGAACCAGTTGTTATGCTTCTGAATCGTTCGTCATTTGTCAACCAAAAACTTCCAGCTGACTTTCTCTCTGTGACGAGACGAGCCACACAAAATTTGGTCGCATACGAGACTTTCGGAGTTTTCGTTTTTGCGCTTGGAACTGAATAAAGGCCAAATATATAAGAGCAAAGTCTTCTATGAATAGTTTATTCTTCTTCTGTGTTAAATTTGTGGCTTCTAAAAATTCTGGTTGAAAACGCTGTGTCAACACGTATATTACGATTGTACAAAGCGAACTTTAAATGATACAAACCATTAAATGACCACATGTCTTTGATATCGTCATTTGTTTTCCGGGTTATTATTTCCGGGTTCGGAACCACGTAAACATTCCGGCAAAAAAGTTTTCGCTTCATACAGGTTTTATTGCAATAATAATGACGTCTTATTTCGATATGTATTCTGCAGCAAACATGGTGAGCCGTGTATTTTTTTACGCGGGAAAACATTCACTTGTTTATGCTTTACAATGGGCCAGAATCAGTGACCATGACAACAGCGCAGGCCTTTAACTGAAATCGAGGCCAGCGGAAACACGGTCTCTGTCGGGGCGGGGGGTCATTACCTAGGTCCCGCGGGGTGTGCCCCGTTTTCTGTTGCTGACAAGTTCCATGAAATCGATTTTGACTTCGACGCGCCTTCCCCCAAAAACGGATAACACAAATGTACAGATAATGCAAAGAAGAATGCAGCACTCCACGGAGACGAATATTAAACGTCGATGAGGACATGACGGGGTATACGGCGCCCATGGGGGAGACGAGAATTGCTAGCAGAATTTTGGTAAAGACGGTAAAGACCACTCGGAAAACCTATGCGTAGATAAGAGGATAATATTAAAATTGATCTTAGGGAATATAACTGCAGGGTATGGATTTGATTCGTCTGGCTCTCAGGACAGTGACCGGTGGTGCGCTCTAGTGAACCTTCCGATTCCATCTGCTGAGAGTACAGTCAGCTTCTGAAGGAGTTCCTCGGTTAGTTATCCTCACATCTACACCTTGGTCTGCCAAGTGATCTCCTTCCTTCGGATCATCAGATACGTGCTAAGTGTCCAGTCCATCCAATGCTTCTTGATTTTACCAAATTAATAGCATTATTCATGTCACCACATATAACTGCATAGCTAAACCATGCTCGTATTAAATTTGTGGGTTCAAAGGCTTCTCTTGTAATTGTAGTGTTGTTATGGAGACCGAAAATAATTTGCATAACGTGTTCAAGCCATTATATGGAACTAGTAAATTGCCCATCAAGAATAAGGCGAAATTCTGAAGTGGTAAATAGTCATATTTTCCTGTAAGGCCAAAAATCCCTACGCACCATTGCCATGGCAACGGTTATAACACACATCATAAACATTATCCCATTCGGCTCAAAATCCATGAACAGTAAATGATTATGAACCAGCTGTAGCCAAAAAGTTATGTGTTTGAGTAAGGACATTCGGCGACTGTGCCGCTAGATATAAGAAAGGCGGCAACACGCGCCAGTGTCCCCCGCACAGCGGTTCTGCCGGCACAGTCGTCAAATGTCTTCACAGTAGGAGACTGCCTGGATGCGTCACTATCTGAATAAAGAAAGATACTCACTTCCTGTTGCTTTCTAGAAAAACGTCGAATTCCACCGACATCTTGCAACACAGCGCCTTCCTGAAACGGAAGATATCCAGTAAGATTACTCTAACCCTTTCTTCGAGGCGGGTTTCGTTAAACTGATGCGTATTCGTGTGTATCTTCCTGTCTGTATGTTTAAATAAACGTTTTGGAAGAAATTTTGTAGGCGATTATAATTTTTCCCAGCTACCAGCTTTAAACACACACGCACACATTGTCGTCAGATCCCATTATAAACCGAAACATTTAGCTACGACGTACCTGTTGTGTGAAGACGAGCAGTTGGTGTTGATCATGTGACCATCTGCAACAAAGAGAAAACAAAGTGACAACATTGTAAAAAAAATAATTACCTAAAAACTGTAGCTGTAACGACAGTTCCCACCACTGGATTTAAACAATCCTTAAGCTCATTCTCATTTCAAAGAAAGTAACTGCTCGACTGTTTAATTTATATCGTCATCTGTTCGTGGACTTCCGCTCACTACAATTCCATTGTTTCATTTCCTTTCGCCGCGTGACTTGAAATTTCCCTACGAGCAGCCAATTTTCTACCTCGCTCGGTGTCTCACTTCCTCCAGTTGACTTACAATGGACTCGGTTTCCTCGATCCTTACAATTGATAATCCACTGCAGTTGTCAGTAGAAGGATCTTGTATCTTCGTGATTAAATATACTAAAACACAGACGTACTTAGTAGAGATACTTGCAGATACAAGAGAGTTGACTTCAAAGTTGATTAGACGAAACATGAATCATTGATTAAATTTACCAGCCGAGTCCCTGCCGGTTTAATATTATCCTACCATCTAGGTCTAGGTCTTCCTAGTGGTCTCTTTCCTTCTGGTTTTCACACCAAAAATTCGACCGTCATAGAGCACTTACTTGTCTTTTCCTGATACTCCGAGTCGTTGGAATCCGTGAAGAACCACGTCTGTAAAAAAGGAGAAACAATTCGATAAATAAGAGAATGGCAGAACTGGCCTGGTTTCAGTTCACAGGCTCGTGACCACAGGTCGCATTTACGTACTATTTTGTTCTGTTCTGTTTCGAATAGAGACAAAGGCTTATGAAATGGCTGCCCCCCCCTACTCTTCAGAATAAACAGCGTTAACCAGTTGATCTACGTAATGGTGAAGTGTGTTGTTTTCTTCGCGGTACGGCCTGAATTCTTAAATATTATTTAGATACCTGGATTTCGTGCGATTCTCAATGTAAACAGCGATTATCTCCTTAAACAGCGTTAACCAGTTGATCTTTGTAATGGTGAAGTGTAGTGTTTTCTTCGCGGTACGGACTGCGTTGGCATAAGCAGATAATAGAATACGAACATCCGACGTTTGAAGAAATAACCAAAACAAATTAAATAATTTATTAAGTCCTCTTTGCAGAGGCGTCTAAAGGAAGGACTGAGACTCTCACAGGGTTTGCGGGCCACAGCTATGACTCTAACCCCAAACCCCGCCCATTCCAGTACTCGACGTTTCTCGGGACGTCATAAAGCGTATGCAGTGCTGGATAATGAAACTTCCACGTATGAACACGGACAAAGAAAAAGAGTCCGAAGGAGACGCCAACCTGGTGGGCTCTGGACCGGAAATATCCATCGGCACGCGATGTCCCTAGCTCCGTGTGCGACATAGCGGAATGCTCCACTTGCTTACTCTTTCTTATTGTTCAAATGTGAGGCTGAAACGTCGGTATGGGAACACTTTAACGATGAACAGGAAGGCGAACAAAGCGACCCGCAACCACGTAACGGGCAATTACCACACACAGAGAGAGAGAGAGGTTGGTCCACTTCTGTGTGTACACGTGTAGTCGGAATGTTTGCGTGACGAGGCATTGATTGATCCGTCAGTGCTGCGGTACAGCTCACCTGTTGGACCAGTCGCTACATAGACGTAGCGTCCATTATAAAGTAATCAGTCATTACGCCTTGTTACGGTAACAGAAATCAAACCCGGTCCTCCCCGTCCTTCGCCTCTCGTCACCCGCTGTTAATTCCGACAGAATTCGGCGGTCAGGAATTCTTTACGGATGTTTTAGTAAGCGAAACTCGGGATTCTCACGGCGACGAGTATGGGAAGTCGAGCCATTTCGTCTCGTGGAAAATGATCGACGTTTCAGAGAGGTGTTTACTTCCTCCTCACTGCCCTGACGAGACAGGATCTCTGAAACGTCGATAAATTTGAGCGAGACTACAAGAATGGTCTTCAAATCATTTTGGTGTGTTGACAAAATAAGTAGCAGAAATGCGACTAGAAGCTTCTCTCTCGCTCCAGACGTAACAGAACGAAGTTTCATCTAGTTCGATACTGGAAGTTTAGCTTAAGTACGTCAGCACATTCCAATTTTGGTTAAAATCGGGCAAAAGTAACGCATTTTACAAATCTGCACGTATATTAAGTGTAACTCTGTAAATATTTATCTGAGTAAATAAAGTTCCGAACAAAAGTTGCAGAGACAGATGAACACAAATTTTCCTCGCCGTGGGTCTGCAAATCTCGATCCTCGCTAAAGAAAACGTGTGTGTGTGTGTGTGGGCCACGTCTTCTAAACTAATCTTTTATCGGGAAATCAAATCGTTATCAATGTCACATCTCTCACTTGTCATCAGTTACTATATTCGCGAGTTACAAAGACATCAAAATTTTATAGTTGTCAACTTCCAGACAGCGACAGACCAACGCGTTAGTGAAGACGTCAACACGAACAGTTCCGCGTCGTTCTGCGATCTGCAGACGTAGTCAGATGCCGACAGGGCTCGATCCGTCACACTGAGCAGCAGTGGGTGGCAGTCTGCGCATGTGCACACGATCCTCGTACGGGCAAGAGTGGCACTTGGGCCCACATGCGGTAATAAGTCGTATATCCGGAAGGCAAAACACGCATGAGAACTGATCTTTAGAGATAAAGTTGGTGAAGTTGCCTCGGGTTCTTTAACATCAACTCTGGATGGAGTCTCACGCCCCGGCCGAATTATCCCTACCAGTTAGATAGGAGACGGTGAGCATTAGAAACGGTTTAGTTGCAAACATTTCCCTTGGCGATTATTACTCGCCAGCAAGGGCTCATGTTCGGGCATCGCTCTCAGATACCGCAGGATCGAACACTGAGCCTCTACAACCCTCACCCCCCCCCCCTTCCTGTTGTCCAGGTACAGCCCCTTGAGACAAGAACCTGTTCCAAAGAGCAAAACAGTCAGGTTCAACGAACACAGGATGCGAAAGACTTAAGGAGATTACAGTGCGCAATAAAACACCTCTCTCACACTTCAAATCCCTGGCCACATATTGAAACATGAAATCCTACTTTAAAACCATAAAAATTTCACAAAAAAAAACAACGAAGTCTTTTGAAGATGGCTGCCATCTGGGTTGTTGCGCCGCGTAGTCTGGCAGAATCTTACCGACGTTTCGTAGCTGATTGGTGCCACCATCATCAGGGCGATGATGAGTCGCTTATGAGAGATCAGACTACACGGTGAAACGTCTCGAAAGAGTTGTCCTCACTGAGAACCGAAGCAAATGAAAAAGAACTTTCCCACAATACATCAGTATTTGCCGGTGCAGTCGGAAACGAGACGGTTTGTTGGCTAAGAGATGACGCACATGTGCCCCTCTTGCTGTACCAGACTTCAGCTGTTCTGTTCTGGGAACGTGACGCTGTACCCAGTTAAGACAGAGATTAAGTGTAAACGCAGACACAAAAAATGACGAATTAGTGCAGTGGGATAACAAGTGTTAAGGGTCATATTCAGTTCCTCCTAAACACACAGCCTAATATAAAATTTCCCTCTGGACGTAAAAAATACCTACAGCGACCAATACGAACACAGCTGCAGCTAATGTGACGCCGTTCAGCAGCTGAATGACACCTTGTCGAACGCAAGAGTGGGACAAGACACTCGAAGGCGATAGTTAGAGGTCTGCACTCAAGCAAAGCCACGGTGGTCTAGCGGTTAGATACTCTAGCAAAATTACAGTAACAAGTTCGGAAGGGCTCTCTCTCTCTTTGGAGGACACCGACGTTTCAAAGGCGTTCCTCGCGCTGCATCACGTACGTCGTTCTTGCACTGATCTCGGCCCCAAATAATTTGTCTCGATGCCACCTCAGCAGTTTTCTTCGTGAAGAACACTTCTGTAGTATTTGCCATTTCTGGCAGTGAGTATGTGACCACCTACGCGCATGCCCAGAAAAGTAACTTCAATGCTGTATCTGGGTATACATACAACACAAGGCTTGTATGGAAATTAGTACGTGACGTAGGAATAGCAGAATTACAGTAACAAGTTAGGAAGGGCTCTCTCTCTCTCTCTTTGGAGGACACCAACGTTTCAAAGGCGTTCCCCACGCTACATCACGTACGTCGTTCTTGCACTAATGTCATAACAGTTCACTGATGCGTCTTCGGACACTCTTGCACTGATCTCGGCCCAAATAATCGTTGTGCAACAACGGTCTCGATGCCACCTCAGCAGTTTCCTTCGTGAAGAACACTTCTGTAGTATTCGCCATTTCCGGCAGTGAGTATATGACCACCTACGCGCATGCCCAGAAAAGTAACTTCAATGCTGTACCTGGGTAAGGCTTGTATGGAAATAAGTACGTGACGTAGGAATGTGAGCTTCGTGTTACTTGCACGGACGGAAATCCTTCTTCTCTGCTTTGCTCATCAGATTAAAGTTGCATTAACAACACGAGGGGGGAGAACAACTTGTTTCTGTCTGTCTTCTTCGTTACCTGTCACCCCCGTCCCCCCCTCCCCAAATGCTTCTAACGAATCGAAATTCAGAACTCGTTAAGATGTTTTTCTTCTGCAGGACACCTTGGATGGGCGATCGGCCAGTCGCAAGGAGTCTCCCTACAAAAGACAACATAATACAACAGAAAAAAACACGCGGTAGGCCTACAGTAGTAGCGTGTAAGGGGGAAATTATAAATGCATACAAAATTTTAGTTGAGACGCCAATTATCGTCTCAGGTTTGATATCGCTCTGTACGCTTCGAATCACCACCGTTAGGGCCGGAACCTCTGTTGGTGAACCAAGTTCCTGCCACTTCCAATCGCAAATTCCCTCATCGATCGATTCATCGACAAGAACGTGCCTCAAGAAGATTGTCTTCTTCTGTCATGTCGCGCCGTGTAACCTCGGTAGTTATTGACCGACGTTTCAGACGTGATTACTGCTTCCATCTTCAGAGCACTGATCGCTCTGACGTCCCAGAAGACACCCATGTTCATTGCCGAGCCGTGGTGACCTGAAATCTTCGTCGGTCTTGGCAAGAGACATCTCCAGACATTTTAGCGGTCGGGCAAGAGACATCTCCAGACATTTTAGCTCCCGAAATCTCGTATATTCCGCTGATGATACGTCGTCCAATTTCTCTCCCCACTATTAAAAGTGTCGTAAGAAAAATGTCGAAATTCTTCCAGCGTAATAAACGCGATTGTTTATTCCGGAACATCTTTCTTTCGTGCACATGTTCATCTTCGTTGGTCTTAGAATTCCATTCGACAGACAGACGCTCCAGTGTTGTCACCAGGGGGGAGAACAGATGACAGGCCCGGCGAGAGGAGACCAATAAATATTTCGGCTTTCCCACGACGTACGGATCTCCCTCCAGCAGATGGAAACGCACTCACGCACTTGTCATGCTTCTGGAAGGAGCGTCTGCGGGTCATATCACCATGGCCCCGAAGATTACTCAAGTTCCGAGGACTCGATTAATTTCTTCTTGGTTTCACAGCGCGCATTCCCACGTGAGATCTTGGTTTGCGTTATCAACACTGAACCAGAGGTTGCAAAAAGGGCGGTGTTTGGTTATTTATCTGTGACCTTTTCATTCTGAATAGGGGGGCCACATGTTTAATCGGTTTACAGTGAAGAGGAAGATGTTGATATTATGGAACAGGGAGCTACAAACACG